TATTTTAGAATTTCGAAGTTATAACCTCTCAGACAATTATTTGTTGTGAATGACTTGAATGACTCGATACAGGCAGCCTTCTTTTATGTGTCCGTCACGAACCTGTTAACCGTACATTTTGCAATAATTAAAATACAAACATGCAGCGACGTGGCCATTTTCTCCTGGTACCGAGTTCAGTTATCCAGTAGCGCAGAATAAGAAGGTATTTAATATGGTTCAAACCTTATATTGATATCTTTATTCATTTATTTGAAAAAAATTCGTAAAATCCTCCTATTTTTCGACTATCTGAATCATTTTCGGCTATCTAAATCTCCCCTCAATGTCCAAAAACAAATGTGCACGATTGGAATACTTAATCCTTAAGCACTGACACAGATTTACCAAAATATTTCGAAGTTTGATAACCTGAGAAAATGTGCGGAACGTCTTTCCTTGTCGCCACTTCGTATCTTACGGGCCAAAGAAAAGATAGACGGACGCGATGTGTATACGCTTAAGCGGAAGTGAAACAGCAATAACTTTATTTATTTCATTGGGAGTCTATCAGATTCCGGTCAATGCTTAATTAACCTAATAAAAGCCTAAGGAATTAAAACTGTTTACTGATTAAAATTCATGATATACAAAATTATTCAAATTACAAAACTATGAATAACCTACTTGTATTGTGTGTTAACTTATGTCGATGTGTAGCAGAGCGGTTTGAACAAATATTCTTCAATGTACTTCGGGACGATTTACAGTTGAATAGTTTCTGAGTAATTCTCATAATTTAGCTTCTCTTATTGGTCGTTGGACGTGTCTTGAAATGCTTCGAAAGAAAACTGTTCAAGCGCCATTCAAGCAAACGTATACGTAAGTATACAAGCCGAGTAAGAAAAATGCCGCACCGCGAATTGCTGTTTCGCGCGGTCGTGGCTCGACGACGAATATATACGTTACTCTCATTGAGTAATTCGAAGCCTCGATCGATTGTCCCGCCGGGCGATTCGTTCTTCCATCAAATGAATCACATCCGTGTCACACTTCGTCGGCCAGCTTGAATCTTCCCGTTGACGCGCGGCGCGCGCTTACAGCGACGCGTTCCCCGTCGATTGCAGTTATAACTCTTTCGCGCGATACTATGTAATAATTTCTACACGAAGACGACGCGTTCGTCGAGCACGTGCGTGACGCTCTTTCACGCGACACGTAATATCCGCGAGTGGATTACATGGATTTACTGTTTGACGCGCGCGCGCGCGCGCGAAACGACGGCGAAGGAAAAGTTTGCGCGAGGACACCAGAGGTGCTCACCAATCGGCATCCACTTTCCCTTTCACATTTTTCACTCTCCGCAAAACGTTTCCCCGATGATCATGACCGGTTGTCACGCTCCACGTCGAGAGATGGATGGATAGATAGATGAATAGACAGATTTCATTTTCAATACTGAAATAAAGACCCCTCCAAGCACGCAATAATAAATATACTGAGAGAAAATAATTGTCAAGAAGATATTTACAAACTAAACTATTTATACTTATATTATGAAATTTATAATATAAAATATCTACAAATTAAAAAATAGAAATATATTTAATCGTTGGCTAATATATAATATTTACTAATATATAATATTTACTAATATATATTATTATAATATTTACTAATATATAATATTATAATATATATAATATATAATATTTACTAATATATAATATTTACTTGAGTCTCGAAATTCTTTTATTCAAACAGGTTAAGCAATTGCTTTCATTAAAAGCTACAGTTTTAGGAAAATGTACATTTTCTTATTTGAGCAAAAATTTTGTTCTATGTAAGAATGTGTTGCAATAACTTATACAGAGTGTTCATTATTCTTTTTTCAATTACAATGATCGAGCAGAAAAAAGTTTAGGTGGAATTAATTAGTTTTTAAATGGCAATAAAATGCAACAATAAAAATTCCATTAAAAAAATTAAAGATAAGCTTGATTGTGATCGTTTTTAGAAAAAAGCGTTTCTAAAAAAGAGTATTTTCGATATTTTTATTATTGCACTTTATATTGCGTTTAAAATTAATTGCATCTAAAACTTTTCCCTCTCCGATCGTTGTAACTATAAAAATATAATGGATATCGTTACAGTGTGTGTGTGTGTGTGAACACACCCTGTGTGTTATATGTTAAAAATAATGTTATTAGTATTCACCGAATAAATATTTCTTATCTTTCAGATATTTTAGTGTATACAGAGTATAACGGTTGATAGATATAATGTTACAGTAAGGTATTAAGAAATGCAAGTAAATAGTTAAAAGAGTGTTATAAGCATGCAAAATTAGTACATGCAAAATTAGTAAACAACAAGAGAATTATAAATACACATTGACAAACAGCAAGCAAATGAAAGTATTTAATAGTAGCAATAATGAGAAAAAAAAGTAATGGTGAGAAGAAAAGAGAGAATGAGAACAGGTTGCGAACAACGTCAATGTTACGTTCCGCGAGTTTCCCGGACGAAGAGGAGATTAAATCCCGCGGAGGAATTGCGTTCATTTCCAAAACGCTCGTCTGTCGCTAAGGAACATCACCGGGGGGAACCGGCTGTTTCCGTTTCTCGCCTGAAATCTCATGTTATCTCGACGTGATGGATCGCGAATTTCCCACGATTCCGGGGATCGTCGCGACTCCTCCGTATATCTGCCGACCCGACGACTTCCGGGTGCTCCGCCGTTTCTCTTGCACGCCATCATTCACCCTTCAATTACATAAGAGAGTGGCGACCGGTTTAACATAAGCACATACAGTGTGCATATATTTTTCCTTATTCGTACTCGCGCCCCGTCGCTGTCTGCGACGTCCGCGATGTGGTGCGAGTCGAACGCGCGGCACATCGCATTCACAGTCGCGCGGCACGTTCGGTCAGGTGAGTGTGTGGCTCACACAGTGTGGAAAAGCGCGCGAGTTTTGTTTCGTAACGATACGGTCAACTAATCCGCGATGTGCAAACGCAAAGTATATCTGACATCCCTGAATATCGCGATTTTATCATTAGGGTTGCGTTCCAAAATGTCCTTTTTGAGAAAATTTTACTCGATACTCTGTAGTATATGTAACGTGAACTATAGATATTGAGTAAAATTTTCCTCAAAAAGAACGTTGGAATGCAACCTAAGAAGGGAATTAATTTTGAAAGTGATCCTCGACTGTCTTGAGATATTTAAATTTTTTTATGCAAAAGCGTGTATATACGCCCGCAAAGAGCCTCTTATTTACGAACAGTATGCATATAAGTTGTCTCAAATATTATACAGAGTGTCCCAGATACTTCTTTGCAATTTTTGTGAGAACGTAAAACGGATTAAGGTGAACATAAAAATCTGGTACCGTTTTACGATATTCGCAATAATAGTCGAAATATCAATAAAAAAAAATTGGTGAATGATCACGCGTGATATAGATGAGCTGTAGTGGCGATGTGTGCTGTTGTGTGCTTGTAAGTTTAACAAAACAGACGTTAAACTGAATGCAAAAAAGTTTTTAATTATTTTGCAAATAACCACGTAGATTTTTAGTTATTAATGAAAGAAGATTGTTACGTGATTGTGCGCGATAATGAACAAATCTTCTCTAATTAACATTTATTTTTATATTAATATTACTTTATATTGTTATACAACATATTATTAACGTATTCTTTGGAGATAAATTGGAGTCGAAAATTCTAATGCGAATGTGTCATCATTTATCGCGACTTTCTAATGAGATAACCTTGTGTCTTCGTAATTAGGTTTGTAATTAGGATTCTGTTCATCCAGAGTTCTCTTTATGTTAACTTGAAATTAGCTGAAAAATACGATGACAAAATTTTCAAGTTTTTAAGTTGTTCATTTGGATCCCTGAAATTGTTCCTTTAGATCGCGAAGAGATCGTTTTTTTTTTATTGGTTCATATTGATGCCTCAATATTTTTGCATTACATCTGATATTTTAAAATTCTGCGGTGTGAAGAAATGCTTGGTAATGTTTTCGAATTGCTGCCGCGTGGATTTGTTTTCAAACAACCTGGAAGTCAGATTCAGCATTTTTTTGTATAAAAATTTTCGACTTCAATTAAACCCCAGAATACGTTGTCTTGGGACATTCTGTAAACATAAAAAACCGTTATTTGCGCAAGTGCACATACGCGACCGTGCAGAATTTACATTTATATACACAGGATGTCTGACAAATCTTACGTGGTTGTTTGCGAAATGGTACAGGAATTTTGTGTTTAATTTGCCTGTGTTCAAATGCCTTCTGTATAGAAAATATTTCCTCGTGCAAAAATATGTATATTGGCACAAGTAAATATGTTGTTAGTACTCATACCCCGAATATTTTTTATCTAGATATTTCTTCTCTCTCTCTTTCTCAATGTAGTAAAAGAAAAAAACGACGTAATATCGACTTCTTTGTACAATATTCTTGTACATTAATTCACGATCTTTTTATTCTATCCACGCCAGAAAAATTTAATGAGTTCTACCTGTACACCGCGGCTGCATAACGGATTGTCGGACACTCCATAGAAACGCAACATCGAAATGTAAGGAAGGAAAGCCCTTATCGGTTCCTACTGCCATCTTTTAAGATCAAGCGACGCGGTAGCGACGCGTCGCGACGCCAAGTACATAAAGACGAGAATGACAGGTCCGAGATGTGATAGTGTTTATGGTATACATCGCTACCAAGAAACTTTTCCGGAGTTTTTGCGATTGTACGTTTCTTGAGTTCTTTAAAAATAGTTTGCATTCTCCGTTGGATCTATAATCTAAAGTTAATTAGCTGCATGGCTCTGGTTTAGTGCAGCGTTTCGTAACTAACGCGCAAGTACCGTGAACGCAGGACGGTTTTAGTTGAAGTGAGTCACAAGGAAAAGATTTAGGAAGGATTTAGATTGTTGGTGATATTATGGGTGTCCGCGCATCATCGCGAAATAATTTGTTCACGGAGAAAACCCTAAGGATATTAACGTTATTTTCCGTCCACGTATGTAAAAGAGTCGTAGAAACTATAGTATACTCTGGAAGTAGTACACTAGTCCTTTTTGCTTTATACGCAGTGAAACTCTTAGTGTCGTAATGCGCGATTAATGTCCAAGCAATATAATGTCATCATTAGCGAAATCCTCTTAGATATGGATTCAAGAAGATTTTTCTCTCTAGAACCAACAGAAAAACATTCCAAGCATAATATTATTACTTTTCATTAAAAAATGAACACTCTTTCAATAAAAGTTTTCGTTTAGAATATGAAATTACAAGAAATATCATCTTGCAATTAGAAATTATAAGATTGTCTATTTTGACTAAACAACAATTTTTAATGCAATATTTATTGAACTTGAATCTGCACAAATGTTTTTTTTCTAAACATAGATAATATAGTGGTGACAAACATAACAGTTTGGTTTGTATTTCAATTTATGATTATTCATGATGATTACACAGGACCACAAAAAATAAAAAATTTTTTTACCGGACAGATGAAACATTACTTTCTAATGTATTTCGACGTGCTGAAATCGAATATGATCTTTAAAATAACGTAGCATGTCAAATTTTTATTATTAACAGATAAAAAAGATTCAAAATTAAGCATTTTTCATATTCTACATAGGATGGGCTGCGATTTTCTTAGTTTAAAAACAATAATCATGTATATTTATGTGTGGAAACATACAAAACTTTCAAATACGGAAATGATATCGCGTACGTGAGAGAAGAGGACTTACGGAAATCAAGCACTCCGTACATATAACTTAATATCTCGCTTATTAAAAGTTTTGTACATTTCAATGTATTTAAATGATTATTTTTTTAAGCAAAGAATATTTAATTACAGCCTGCACGTCCTATATAGAATATGCAAAATGCTTAATTTTGATCCTTTTTTGCTCGTTATAATAAAAACTTGACATGCTATGTTATCTTGAAAGTTATATTCGATTTCGGCATATCAATATACATAAAAAATATAGGTTTTTCTTCCCGGTAAAAAGAAACTTTTTATTTTTATGTAATCCAGTGTTAATTGAGTTTTAAAGGTGAGGCTCTTTCTTGTGTCACAGTCGATTTATTCAGAAAATGGCAATTATTAGAAGACAACATAAAAAGTGATTGCATAATTAATTAGAGATTTCAATGTTGTGCCGTAAACAAACGTTACAGTAAGCGAAAGAGACCGTGGCTTTATATAGTAAAAGCAATCATGTGTTAACGATTCTATGATAAGTGAAATTACACAATCAGCTATTAGTTCTCGACAATTCTTATGTTTGCGGTGAAAGTTTCGTTGGACGGACTAACCTATGGACCGCATTTCACTCGTTCGTCTTACGACCGGGACTTGATGGATTTTTCGTTTTGGTTTTATTCAATATATCTCTCTCGCGTGTCCGTCGCCGTGAGAGAAAATCAACCGCTAGCGATTCTAATTCGCGAAGTATACAACTCAGCAGACAAACGATTTTTACAAAATAAAATTCACAGCAAAAATTTGGCTGCTTTAATCAGACTTCTGTTCGCCGGGGACAAGAACTCAGTTCTCTACTCAGTAGGTGGGATATTTCTAGGAGGTTTTCGTTTACTCGATCAATAGCTTTCTATTATCTCAAACAGGTTTTAATATAGTCGAATATTCTTATTCGTGATAACACAGAGAGATCGTTTCGCGTCACTGAGTTTTTGTCGGATTTCTCTCTCTCTCTCTCTCTCTCTCTCTCTCTCTCTCTCTCTCTCACTCTCTCTTTCTATTATTTTAAATTTCTTATAGTAGAATTTTATTTAAAATCAATGAAAAGTGGCAGTATTTTCGCTTGAAGTGACAATGAAAATTAATACTGTCATTAAAAATTGCGAAAGTAAGATGTTTTATTCAAATTTAGAGTAAATTCTGATTCCATATGAGCGCATATTTAAATCGATCAGAGTGGATATGTTTTTGTGACGATGGACTGCATCAGATTCACTCTTTACTTTTGAATAAAAACTCATTCAACTTAGAGTAAAGAATTCACACGGTGTGAAGTAAAGTTTATGCGAAATATTTTATATTTATATCAAGAAAAAAATATTAAAAAATTAATAAATATTTATTAGTTGGATATTATTAACGTATATTTATTTAAATCGAATAAACAATCCTTGGTTTAAATGAAAAGAATTTTGATTTAAGTAAATATGTTAATGGTATCCACCTAATAAATATTTGTTATTTTTTTCTTAGTGTACTTTTATATATATACCAAAGTAAATTTTTAAATTCTTCTTCTCAGTGTCGCTGGTCACTTTACTTTTTGAGTGAAATTTTACTCCAAGAAATTTGGAGAGCATTCAATTACAGGAACTGTAATATTTTTAACTTAATGAGAACCATACAAAAATTCAAACTATTATTTTTTTCATAGATAAACACATGGGAAAAAGAAATTAAATTTGTGTAACTGAATATCTGTTCCCTGGGAACCAGACGGATGTAGGAGCGAAAAGATTTGTACAGGAGAGTTTGCATTATTCAATCAATTGTTCTCGGTTACCTTAACCGAGTTTGAATACAGCTGAATGTTCAGATGGATATTTTTACGATTGCAAAAACATAGAGATTATTATTATATTTCTCGTCACAAATGTTTGTCTGGTTTACAGAAAACAGGAATTTTGTTATAGGAACCGAGCTCTTTCTTCGTGCACTTGGCGAGGTTAACGGGCGATTTTCTTTTTCTGTAGAATGAAGCTCGGACATACGATCGACGATTCGCGCGGAAAATATCCGGAAATCACGGATGAGCTGTTGGAAGTTCTGCAGAATTGGGCGAAGGAGCACGGCCTGCCGCAGATTCCCGAGGAGCAACTGGCTTTATTCGCTCACAGCTGTTACTTCAACCTAGAAGCCACTAAACAATGCATGGATGTTTACTACAGGATGAGGACCAGTCTCCCGGAATTTTTCAGCGACAGGGATTCCAGACTCGAGTACTTGCAACATTCTCTGAGAGCTTTGTACGTTCTTGCTTATCGCGTTTAATCGAATTTACGGATTTCTCTTTGCCGCTTCGCGACTGCAGCATGAATCAGCGAAAGAGAGAGAGAGAGAGTAAATACATCGTTTTATCATCGGGAATATAAATGAAACAGCATTCATAATTTCTTTTTTTCTTAAGTTACATTATGTATGTGTGATTGTTTTCGCGGGGTTCTGCAGTGGTGAGAGACATTCGTCGTTCTTACGAATTAATCAATTTGGCCTTAACCTTTCGTCGAAAATCGATTCGGCAGACAGGTAATCTGACAGACGTAGATTTTATGTGTATTATCTCGTAATATAATATATATCTTATTACGAGGTAATTATTATATGTGTCTTGTTACGACGTAATTATTGTATATCTTATTATGAGGTAATTATCATTTTATCATAAAAACATCACTTTGCTCTGAGAAAACATTATTTTGTAATTCATCGAATTAATTTTAATTTAGTTTTTTGTAAAAGGAGGAAAATGTGATTTTATATAAAAAATTGTTTACACACACACACACACACACACAGAGTTCTTACATCTCATTTTAAATTTAAATATTATTTTTATCTACTTGTTTACAATAAAGTTAATATTTAAGAGTGGCACTTTCAGTGCCTTTCTAAAAAATAATAAACATACACTGAGAAGAAAATATTTCTAAATGCTTGAGAGATATATAGAGTTCATTCATAGAAATAAATTTTATTTTAGCAGAATAAATTTAATTTCACAGAAATACAATTGATACACCGTCAATAAATATTTAAATATTTTTTTCAGTGTAAATTGTCTGTCAGAGCCATTGGGTTTGTTGTTGTCATTATATTATATTACGTCTGACGGAAGATTAATGAACGTTAAAGTCAATAAGTCACTCGTCATCGCGCGCGCACTGAGAAAACAATATTTGAAGATGTATTTGTGGAAGATACAAAATTTTTTCATAGACAACTGAACGTTACTTCACAGAAATAAACTTTATATTTACCCACACACACACACACTGGGAAAACATTTTTGAAGATTCATCTGTGGAACATAAAAAAATAAAGTTTTGTGAAACAAAGTTTATTTTTGTGAAGTGAAAATTTAGTTTTCTGTAAATAAATTTTGTATCCTACACAAATAAATCTTGAAGTATTTTTCTTTCAGCGCACGTACGATAATGAGTCACTCATTGACCTTGGTGTTTTCGTTAACCTTCGTCGAGCGCAATGCGCATAATAATTGCAACGAAAAAGCGTGAATAGACTTTACATCCCACAAATAAATTTTCATGTATTTTTTCTCTCAATGCACGCACAGAACGCACGCGGAATTGAGTCGAGAGCCTCCGATTTCTGCCTCCGATCGATCTATCTCCTTCAATCCCGCCTCATCCTTTATCCCTCATCGTGTGTGTACAAATTGCGCGCCTGCCAATAGCACTTTGCGCTTAATACGGCCGCATTAGATATCTTTATCGCTGCAATTTCCCCGCTCGCGGCTGCTGCAGCTGTAGTCCACCTGATACCGATTAGCTAGTGACAATATCACCAAGGAAGATTCTGTTACCTTTGCATCCTTGCCATTCTCCGATTTTACGGACGTCACTGAAACTCGCCAGGATAGTAGAGATTCCACCAATGTTTACTTGGCATTGTAGATTTATTATTATATTCCCTTAATCTTTCTCTTGTGTATATCTCCGTCATTTATTCTTATTTCCTGCTTCTATCTCCTTCTCACTCTCATGGAAATTTTGCTGCGACTCTCGCGATTTCCCGAATCGAAATTTGCATTCTACATTCGACCCCAATATTCTATTTAATACTTTAAAATCTATGTCAACTTCTTTTGAATATTTTTTAAATTTAAATCACTAACTTTCTCTAACCGAGAAGTTCTCTTTAGAGCCCACGGGTGGCATTTTGTGGCAAGTATAACTTCTGTTTTTATGTGTACACTAAAAGAAAAAATGCCTGAAAAATAAAACAGGTTTATTTAGTGGGTATTAATAACATATTGTACACAATACTTAAATTCAAATTCTTTTATTTAAATAGAATAAACAATTGCTTTCATGAGGAACAATGGTTTTAGGAAAACATATGTTTCTTCATTTGAAAGAATTTTTTTTTTTAATGTAAAAATATGTAAAAATATGTATATTAGCATAGGTAAATATGTTATATGTGTGTGCTCAACGAATAAATATTTATTATTTCTTAGATATTTTATCTCTTAGTTTAGTAGAAGTTTTTTAAAAAAAAAAGTCTTAAACTCATATTTAAACATATTTAACAAAGTCTTTTAGACGTCTTTAAGATGTCATTTAAAAGTTTTTGCTATCTTAATTCATTCACACACCACATCGCACGCACTCCAAAGTAATAAAAATAGCAATTAAATTTTCCTCAATTTAATAAATGTAACTTGTACAAATGTGTTTCGATCCAACTAATTGGCAACTGTAAAATCAATCGAAGAATATTTAATTGAGGATTAACTTCAAAATCATTAAATTCGTTGAAATTAAATGAAGATCGTTCAATTGATGATAATATGAATAAAGGGAATTAAAGATTGCTAAGTTCAATTAACAAATGAACTCAATAAATTTAATTAAAGACCGTTTAATTGATGATTGAACGTAGTAAATTTAATTAAAAGCCGTTTAATTGACGATTTATATGAGTAAGTTCAATCGATTCGATGGAAAAGCGATCACTCTTGCATAACCATGGTCAATCGAACCATCTTTAATTCTCTTGGCATATCTCAATCGTCAACAGAACGGTCTTTGATTAAATTCATTGAAATCAAACGATCCTTGATTGAATTTGTTGGGATCAATTGCCGTCAAACGGTCTCCAACTGAATTGACATGCATTAATCGTCAATTAATCACGACGATTAATTAAAAAAAGCTAATTGAAAAAGTTAATCATAATCTTGACTTGGTCGCAGGGAATTTACAACACTTCCCAAGCCCGATCAAAACGGCTTTCGGATAATTTTTCATCGCCTGGCGGACACCCGACCGTTTCAGTACATGTTCAACGACGGCATCAAGCTGCTGCTGATGTCCATCGACGCGAGGCTCTACACGGATGGCTGCTCGCCGGGATACGTGTTTCTCTTCGACATGCAGGGCAGCCGTCTCGGCCACTTGACGAGGCTGTCGATAAACAGTATCCGGAAATTCTTAGAGTATCTTCAGGAGGGCATGCCGATCAGGCTCAAGGCCATTCACGTGTTGAACACGCCCTGGTTCATGGACAAGGTCCTCGCGCTCATCAGACCCTTCATGAAGCGAGAGCTCTACGATATGGTAACGATAGATAAAAAAAAAAGATCGGAGAATAATTATGATGAATATTATAAGGGAAAAGAAAAAAAAAGTCAGAGCGTGTGGCAAAGGGTTCGCGCACGATTCAGTTCACCGGCGCGAGTGCGATTGATAATCACGTCGGACTTGTTGAACTTCGCAAGTTGATTGCACTCGGGTCGATGAGAGTCATCGTGAATAATAAAAAAAAATGCTACTTCATGCGTGTGCACGGTGAAGTTTTGTTGTGTTTTTATTAGACGCTGTGCGCTCGATACTTTTCCAGTTGCGTACAATGTTGAGCGCGCGCGCGGAAATTATGCGCGCAAAAAAAAAGTAAACAGCGCGCATCTCGGTTCGTTTTTACAGAATTAATTTATACTTCGTAGCTTCACCTTTACACCGGTGACGTTTCCGACCTGTATCCTCACATACCGCGTGAATGTTTACCGAAGGACTTTGGTGGGGAACTGGACTGCGTCGCAAGCCTTCACAGTGAGTATATATATTATATAATAAGTGTGCAAAGTTCCTTGAATTCTTTTTTTTAAGACTGATTAGTAATAGATACTTCATTTGTGAAAAATGAATAAATTTTATATTTCAAATAAATATTTCTATAGATTTTTCTCTCATTTTAAAATGTATCTGTGATATCGACCTCATAATTCTATACGAATGATAATGCATTAATATTTATTGTATAAATTTATTTAATTTGCAGTAATAGATACTTCATTTGTGAAAAATGAATAAATTTTATATTTCAAATAAATATTTCTATAGATTTTTCTCTCATTTTAAAATGTATCTGTGATATCGACCTCATAATTCTATACGAATGATAATGCATTAATATTTATTGTATAAATTTATTTAATTTGCAGTAATAGATACTTCATTTGTGAAAAATGAATAAATTTTATATTTCAAATAAATATTTCTATAGATTTTTCTCTCATTTTAAAATGTATCTGTGATATCGACCTCATAATTCTATACGAATGATAATGCGTTAATATTTATCGTTAAATTTTATCGTGTAAATTTATTTAATTTGCAGAATTGCATTGCATGAAGTTGGACCAATTGCGGGACTATTTTCGTGAGGAGGAAGCCCTGTTTCATAATTACTCGTTCGACAAATTGAAAATATTAAATGGCCATTGAATTACTCAAAGTGTTGAACGTGAGAATGATAATTACAGTTAACGTAAGATTATAAAAACAGTTGATATAAAAAAGTGAAATACTAATGCGGAACGATGATATAAGCTACTGAATGTATAATGTATATATAAATAAAGGTATCATTATAAACATTATTAATATCTTTTTAATGTTCATATATATATATTTTCTCGCAGACGATCGTGCTCTCGATTGCAAATAAATTATCTTTTACTGGTCCTCTAGGATCTTTCTTGTAAACATTTGTCGATTCGTAATTATATACCACAGATACGAATTAAAAAAATATTCCTTATGATTGCAGAAAACAGACAAAGTTCAGCAGCTTATAACCTCAATAAAAAAAAAATAATAATCCAGATAACACAGAAAATTTAAAAAGAATTTAAAAAAATTCAGTCGTATGTCACTAATTCTGAGTCCATTTTCAAATACAAAAAGAATTCTTTTCACTAAACTCAATTCTGAAGAATTTTTTTTGCAATTAAAAATGAATTTAGAATTAGTGACATACGATTAAATTTTAAAAAATTTTTTTTGAATTTTCTGTTATCTGGGTAATGAATAAAAAGCTTAAACTTCCCTCTTTTTAAAATATATTTTTATACTCTTGATAAAAATATATTTGATAAAATCTCTTACTCTTGATAAAAATATATTTTCAGAAATTCAATTATAAAATGAGATTGAAAATAAAACGATCAACATTTTTCATATAACTTGATATATCAATACAATAAACAATAGCAACGTTATGAGTTTATTATGTTTGAAAAGTAGAGATTTCAAGTTTTAAAATGCTTTTCGAAACATTACGTTATTATCATTTTTACCAAAGTTATCTTTACCCAAAGTTATCATTGCCCAGTTAGCTATTGTTAGTTGTTGAATTTTGTCTATATTTCAATAAGAGAAAATATGTCTGACTAATCGTTGACTTTTACCACGAGTCATGCCACTTGAAAAATAGGAGATGCCTGATCTGTCGTTAACTTGTACCACGACTTCGTCTCGTTTCGTTTTATTGCAGGTAAAGGGTATATAAAAGTGTGTACGAGTGTAGAAACTCAACCTATCGCACCCAAGGGGTCACCGTAAAAAGTGTACATAATTTCATACTTATATTTAACCCTCTATCTTTGCGCACTTGTGCTGAAGTTGGTTTAGAAATAACATGAGAAATAATGATTAATGATTATAAGAACCGCATCTTAATCTAAACTCACCAAAATGAGCATTATAACAGATACATAAAGTGGTATATAATTTAAAGTAATGTAGTGTAATACAATGAAATGTAATGTAGTGTAAGATAAGTTGTATGTTCTGAGCGCCGACGCTTTTAAATTAACATAATTGCATATAGTATACTATTTAAAGTTATAAGTAAACTACTTATTATTATTATACTATTTATTAAATAAAAGATATTTTTAAATAAAACTTTCTAATTTATATAGTATGAGATATATAGTATGATTTATATAGTATGAAAGATATATAGGAAAGAAATATTATACTCTTGAATGTTGAGTTTGAACCTGAACTCATCACGACCTCGAGAGTTGAGGAAGTATAATGGCGACTCATAACGGAAACTTCGAAACTAAATGTCGGTACCACAAACAAGAGCCGAGATTCGAACCTTTCTCAAGCAACACTTATCCACCACTTAGCCGAGATTTAAACCTTTCTATTAACCGCGATGTTCAAATTTAATAATTAATATCTTGAAAAGTAAGATTAATTCAGCGAAACGCCCGAACACGAATAAAATATATTCAATGTAGATTTACCATCCTGTGTTTCGTGATGATCAGTAAGCGCATTTTCGAAAAAAACAATTATGCGTTGATCGATCTTCACGTGCTTTAAGAGAATGCTGAAGTCGATCTCGAACTCGAAGAATGTCGATAACGCAAAGATGATCTAAGGCAATCACGATATTTTTTCGTATTTTTTGCAGAACTTACGTAAATATGCGTTGATTTCCTTACCATTTTCAAGCGCGAATATTACTTTAAAAAACTCTAAAAAGCTATCCCAGAATGTGCTCTACATGCTAATATTATATGACCTAATCTGCAGTAACACGACCGACTTTCGGCCCGTACGCAAGATAGGTACGCAAGATAGGTATCACTGCGCATGCACGAGAATCCGAATATCATGCTATGACGGAACTATCGTTATGGGCGCGACTTTGGGATATTGGCAAATTATTTTCAACATTCTTAAGGTGTTACTAAGGGAATAGAGTGACACTAACATACATTGTCATGCAAAAGATGATGCAAATCGAAATACGCACGTCTTTGAACTTTGGCAACTGCGAAAATTTCTTTAAAAGTCTGTGAAAAGTTATCCTAGAATGTGTTCTACATGCTAACTCCATATGACCTAACCTGCAGTAACATGATCGACTTTTGGTCCTTGCGTAGGATAGGTACCACTTCGCATGCGCGAGAATCCGAATATATGATGAGTCTAACGTTATGAGTGCGGCTATTGGAAAATTATTTTCAAGATTCTGAGTATGTTACTGAGGGAGTAAAGTGACATTAAAGCACATTGTCATCCAAGAGACGATGTAGAGCGAAATACGTACAATTCACGTCATCTTCGATAATATACTTTTGGAAACGCGGAAATTTCTTTAAGCAACTTTAAAAAATTTACCCAGGTTTAACTATCTCGGCTTAATAAATTAGCAAAAACTCAAAACACTTCGTTTCGAATCTCGGCTTAATAATTTAGCGGAAATACAAAGTTCTTTGATTGAATCTTAGCTTAGTAATTTAGTGAAGCCTCAAAACACATCGGTTTGAATCTCGGCTTAATGGTTTAGCGGAATCTTACAACACTCCGGTCCGAATCTCGGCTTAATAATTTAGCGGGAAATCAAAACATTTCGGTTTGAATCTCGGCTTAATGGTTTAGCGGAATCTTACAACACTCCGGTCCGAATCTCGGCTTAATAATTTAGCGGGAAATCAAAACATTTCGGTTTGAATCTCGGCTTAATAATTTGTTGTCTTTAATTTGTCGAAATTTAATTTGTCTTCTTGTCAACAACAAACGTGTATGCATAAGAAAATATCCCCGAAGAAATAGTGGATAATAACGGAATAACGATCGAATAATCAGTAATAACAATGAATAACAATACCTGGGCAAAGACAATAATAACTAATTAAAGACGAAGTAAAGAAATTGTCGTAACGACACGCCCGAATTGTTTTCCTATGCGTAATAGCAATAATTAAATAATAACCGAATAAATTAAATAATAATCGAATAAAGAAGTAATAATATTCGAATATTAAATGGTAGTGATAATGAAATCTGTTCGACAATCATGTGATAATATCCGAGTGGATAACGAAATAATGATGATTAAATAATCGGTAATAATAATATCTGGGCAACGACTTTAACAAAAACTCTAGGCTCCACAAAGGCTAGGTAAACGTACCATCGTAACCACAGACTTCTATATAACTACTAGACTTTTATATAGCTTCCTTATATAGTGCTATGTAAAATTGACTCCGAACAGTATGTATTACGTATGGAAAAAAGGCATCTGCGCATGTCTGAAACTGGTATTCCAGAAGAAGAGGGGATATAAATGTAATATGGCCGATGCCGCTTGCTTAAATATTTGTGTACGTACAGAGTGAAAAACATCAGAGTGAAATACGTTATAGTAAAAAATTTGTAAAAATAAGTGATTGACCAATTATATACCTATATCAGAGGGCAATAATGCCTAAAACGAGATGCTACATTGTGAATGTCGGAATACCAAATAGACGCATGCGCGAGATTTCTGTACATACTTTTCGGGGCCATGTACTGAGTCAAAGTTAGCAGTCTAGTAGTATATAGAAGTCTGTGGTCGTAACGGTCCGCTCGTGCCGCTTAGAGATCCTGTAATAAGAGATCGAACACCATATGTCAACGTTTTGATTGGTTGCGCCATGTTTAGGTCCTTGTTTCCGGTTAGGATCATCAGCTGAATGGCAACACAAGCAGTGGTCTATTCTTTTCAGCTGCACTGCTGAACTGGTGCAATAAGTTAAATTGAGATAAGTATACTTCCGGTTTGGACCCAAACATGGCGAATCTATGGTCTGTTCTTTTCAGCTGCACTGCTGAACTGGTGCAATAAGTTAGAGTAAGAAAACATATACTTGTCTCACTTGTCTAACTTATTGCACCAGTTCAGCAGTGCAGCTGAAAAGAACAGACCACTAGTATCTACAGGCGATAGTATCCGATCTCTTATTAAAGGATCTCTAGTGCCGCTGACTGAGCGGCGCTTGGGGGAGCGCGCGGCCGGGTCATGTAAACACGCGTACGCGAGCACGTGTTCGAGCGTCACGCCATATACTCTCAACCGTCGAGACGAGCACATCGGGAACTGCCGATAATGTAGTTTTGCGATAATATCGCCGCTAGCTCGCTTCGTGTTTACGTCGCGCGATCCGCTCATCAGTGATGAGACAAGAATAGAGCGATTAGACGTCTGTCCTTTTCTTAACTTACTATCATTGTACGGAAGTACAACGGGCACGAACCAGGCGCATTTTATCGTTACCACCACGAAAATGCCTAACGAACGTAGTAAAGGCGCACTTTGTTAGATGCAGAGTCGATTTATTCAACCACTAGCTAAGCTAACAGTTAAATCTTATGTCTGTTTCTACCTAATTTGAAAGAGAAACAAAGACAGACGTATGAGTTAATTGTTAGTTAGCTTAGCAAGAGGTTGGAAAAACCGGCCCACAGTCTCGAAGATGCGCGTAGCTCTGGTCATTGAAATCAGACTGGTAGCCGCTCTCATACTTCTCTTCGGTATCACAAAGAGCCGAGATTCGAACCTTTTTCAAGTAATACTTATCGACCACTTAGCTGAGACTCAAATCTTGCTATTAACCGCGATGTTCAAATTTAATAATTAATATCTTGAAAAGTAAGACGAATTCAGTGAAACGCCCAGACACGAATAAAATATTTTCAATGTAGATTTACCACACTGTATTTCGTAATTATCAGTAAGCGTATTTTCGAAAAAAACGATTATGCATTGATCGTCGTCACGTCCCAGTGAGAAATGACTTACCGATCGACGTTGAAAAGACGTCGAATCGACGTCTTTTCGACGTCTATCGGTAAGTCATTTCTCACTGGGATGCTTTAAGGGGATGCTGAAGTCGATCTCGAACTTGAACAATGTCGATAACTCAAAAATGATCGTCACTAAGGCAATTACGCTTTATCTTTTTTGTAATTTTTGTATATGTAGAACTTACATAAATATGCGTTACTTTCTTTTACGATTTTAGCGGAAAACCTAACTATGTATATGTAGAAATCTTCCACATAGTAAGTAGATATAAAGGTACAGCAATGTTCTTCAAAATTTTTCTGTGTAGAACATCCACACTTGCAGTATATACAAGTTGCGAAAATTTTGAATCAAATAGAGCGCTAATTGGCAGCTTGAAATTTTAAATAAAAATTTTTTTTCGTTTTCGTCACATATTGAGCAATGCTCTTACTTATTTTTGCACGTACTTTTATTGTATAAAAGCACACATTTGTAATTCAGTACAACCAATACTACAATAAAACGTTACAGAAAAATATCAGTATTCTGTCGGTAAAGTTTTCAGCATCCCTTAATTCAATTGCCAAGTTACTAGTGCCATCTAAATATCAGCTGCAAGGACATAACCTCTTAGTTTATGGGAAACATGACGCTTTGAAATCTGTTTTCATATCCCGTGAACGGTATAATCTCGGAGATAACTTATCTGTCATTAGATTTATTCACACATGTTATTCCTCGATTATATGAATCAACTTATCGACCATCGCAATTTAATCTCTTTGACGATGTTCGAAGTCGATTTCTCAATTGCAGATAACACCGGTTAATGTATATGTATACGAAGTATGCAAAGGTGAATGATGCGAAAAAAAAAGATTTACCAAATCGATCAAAGTTTAGTCCATTGTTATGTAACATCGAACGTTGAATGAATATTTAACACTTTCCTGCCGCGTAAATTATTCTCATCGTGTGTTTCTAGCGACAGTCGTGCAAAATGTTGATTTCGAGGTTAATACGTGAGATTAATAAAAAGTGGTTCGTTGTACGAAAGAAAACCACCCAAAACGTGCAATCGGCCAGAGATGCAGTTGTTCGTGGCGCTGTTATTGTTGTTTGCGCTATCTTTGTAGTTTGGTTATCTGTGTTCCTTTATACAGCTTTTTATTACACATACATGCCCAGTATGTCGTATGTGCGTCCTGTACATTTGCAATTCAAGTAAGTTTTATTTACACTATAAAATATGCATATTAAAAATGAAATGATAATAAAGACAGAAGCATAATGTCCAGAAATTATATATACTTCAAATATGAAAACTTGAGAAACAAGTCGTTGGTAAATGCTTAAAACAATAAGTGATTAGAAACATAACACAGCATTATGGCAATATTATTACATGTAACATTTGTCCATAAAGATAACAAGTGAATTCATTATTCTCTCTGTTGATTTTCATTTTAGATCATGCGATGAACAAAAAGGTATTTGTAGTTTTCCATCGGCTCATGTGCAGTTGACCAACAAACAACAGCTCCTCATGATAGGTCAGCCATACAAAGTGAATTTACATTTGGAAATGCCAGAATCACCTGCCAACAGAGAACTTGGTAAAGTTATTTATTGTATCATCATTGAATCTTCATGTTGAATGTCTCTCTGAAACCTAATCTGTCTTTCAGGTATGTTTATGGTTTGTGCACAGCTAAGGAGTCGTGATGGATTTCTTGTGGACCATTCCTGCAGACCTGCAATGTTACATTACCGTAGTACATTATTGCATACGCTTACAACTCTAACCTTTTCACCTATGATGATTTTTGGAAACATTGAGGAGAAGCAAGATGTTGTTCTGGAATTGTTTGGTAACTTCGAAGAGGACCAGGTAATGATTACAATTCTAGATTCTAGATTCTAGAATTTGATATGTATATTTAATATCTTTCAGTTTGATTAATTAGATATATGTATAAATTGAGTATTAACATGATTCTCTGCGTCTGTTCCAGAGTCATCCAGTGACAATTATTTACATTCAGATTCAATCGAGGCATATCGAATTCTATTCTGCTAGCCTCATGATAAACGCCCATTTAACAGGACTACGTTACTTGATGTTTCATTGGCCAATTCTGTCAGCCATTGTTGGTATTGGTACAAATTTGTTTTTCATAGCGTTTGTATGTACACTTTCGTACCTGCATTTTGTAGTTGAAGAGGAAAATACTGACGAAAATTTCAGTTATGAAAAGGGCGAGATTGAGGATGAGAAGGATAATAAGACTGTTAGCGAACGTAAGTTACTTTATGATATATCAAACTTATTATGATCCTGATAAGGTAGTAAGAGAGATCGCCTTTTTTTATAGTATCATCGTCGGAAACGTCGTCATTGCAAGATAGTCCTATTTCAGAAGATCTCAAGAGTCGAAAGAGAAGTTTATTATCACGTACACCCGAGACAATTGGGGGTGAGCAGAGATACATTCAAGAGATTTCCACGCTACTTGCCGAAGCGTCAAGTAGCGATAAATAACTCAATACTTAGAAATATGACGATACATTGCGAGAATATACGTAGCGGATTATTAACCATAGGTGTGAAAAGAGAATTGATGAGAGGAGGGAAGTCATTAAAATGTATATTTTTGTAAAGTTATTAAGAAAGATTACTTTAAAATATATTTTTATTTTATACACAAACTCGTTTTTTTTTATTAGTTTTTCGTTACCTATTTTGTTGATACTAACGGGAAGCACTTCGGCGCGGGTATATACTCATATAGCACAAATGTTTAAAATGTATCCTACAGACGTCTCAGAGATATCCAGACGTCTCCGGGATACATTTACTGTACTATAAGTATAGACGATACATACGAAAATATGGACACAGAAAAAAAATTTCTGAATCGAAAGCATACCCACAGTGTTTTTGGTTAATGTGCCAGCTGGCTTGATGTGGAGCTTCTCTTGTCCTAGATTATGGCAACGAAGAGAACCCACATCTGCTCAGACGGCGTTGGCAGCGCATGCTAAAATGACTACTGAATTATTCTTGGCTTGGGACTGTATGCAAGCTCCGGAAACACCGGGTCAATCCCGATATAGTCACTTTGATTTTGATACTGGAGCATCAGGGGAGACCCAGGTGAACCTGGAATTCCAAATAGACAGGACTAAAGACAGGACTAAGCGAGCCTTCCGATGACCAGGCTGCCGGTGACCTATTTGCCGTTGGCAAAGCAGTCAGCAGGGATTACATGGGACGGGAGAATCTGTCCGAAGGCGAGAAGTCTGTAGCGGTCGCCGTCAGTCCAAGGTCCTGATGCCCATTCCCAAGTAGGGCTAATGAGCTCTCCCGGAGCAATGGAAAGACAAAAACTCTGAGGTGGCAGAGGAAACTATTAACGGACTGTATAGTCTTGAGAGCTCCTATGCTCAACTTAGAACTCGTTGCGTGAACTGAGTATTGACTGCGTGAGGACACGAAAGAGATTGGTGTTGTATTGACTCTTATGTGTAAAAGGTACGGAAGTCGGGGTTGTTGATTTTTCAAGTCTAAAGACTTGGAAAACCCGAGAGTAGGTTGGTGCAAAGTATCTCTGTCATTTTTCTATTAGGAAGTTCGTGTATTAGAAGAAAAATAGAAAGTTCTTGTGTTAAATGTCTAAAAATATTACTGAATCGACGTTGTTAATTTTATTTGCAACAATTATCAATTGCTCGATATTGCATTAGATTGGTGCAAAAGATTTGTCATTTTGTTATTAAATTCTTATAGACACTTTGGGTATATATTTGAAGAAAAATAGGAAGAGTTCTCATTAGATGTCCGAACATAGTACCGAGTTGACGTTATTCATAATATTAATCCATCGAAATTGCATTGTTTTGTTTTCTATTTTATTTGGTAAATACGACAAGCCTTTTGCACCGACCTAATATTCTGTATGAGCCCGTTGGCTAACACCAGTCAGCGATCCTACCAGCGAGAGGCGATTCCGTGCGGCAGCAATAATCTATGTATTATCCGGATCTTTTATAGATCCACTTACTTTTATGTACCACCCAATATACACCAACTAACAGTAACATTACATCAATGCTATAATTTCCTAATCTATGATGCCTTATAAGATATATTGTATGTAACAGTTACGTTGTCGAGTGCGAAATTATAACATTAATGTAATGTTACTGTTAGTGTTTACCGGATATTATTGCCATTATTGTACTTATCGAGGATACAAAAACCTACATTAATTCTGCATAATGTAATAAAATTTCATAAAATCTGAAAGCGCAGCGATCAAAGATTTCATGGATAATTGCTGATGTTTTCACGGAGAAGGCTAAATTTTCCATTTTCTCATAGTTAGTATTGCAAAGTGCGACATTATAACATAGCTGTAACTGTTGGTGTTTATCGGATATCATTGCTATTATTGTACTTAACAAGGACATAAAAATCTATATCAGTACTACATAACGTGATAAAATCCCATAAAATTTGAAAGTGGTCAAAGCATCTCGAGGAACGTCGTCGTTTTATGGACAATCGCTGGCATTTTCGCGAGGCGGGTTCATAAACGTCGCATTTAGGACGGTTCCATTCTCTGTCGAGCGACATTAAGCGGACGTATCGGTAACGAGTTGAGAGACTCTGCTGCCTCGGATGACTGGTTGGTTAAGTCGAAATACCGGTCCCATCGTAGAACTAGCCGAGCGCGAGCTGGCGGAGTGTAGCGATAGTCATTCCAGCTTCCGTGAGACCTCGTGCACACGCGAGCCGCGGCCGTGCACGTGCACGGCCGCGGCCACGCGTGTGTGCGTGCTCGCGAACCCTAAGAAAAAGATGAGGCGCGCGCTCGCGACGTCAGCGGAGAGGCGAGAGGGCCGGCGTCCTAGAACGGACGTTAAAGGAAAAGGTCCGAGGAGAGAGATCGGGAGAGCGCCAGAGATAATTTAACCACCGTGTACAGGCGTTGCTTGGTCGTGCCGCTACCTTCGGCCGTTCTCGTGGTGCTTCGTGAAGGTTCGGGCACGCGAGAACCACGCGCATCAAGGTCGCGGCCATCCACCTTTCCCTCGCGGCAAGTGCACGCACAGGCTACACCGACGTCGGGGTCCGGTCGACCCGGCGGCCAACGCCGCAACCAGGATGACCGGCTGTCTCGCTCGTTTCCAGGGACGCAGCCGCAGATGAAATGGATGCTGCGACCATCCAGCATTGTTACTTTATCTCGCGATCTTTAGCCCCTATCAACGTCCTATCAACTCGACATTTCTCCTCGTAACGTAGGGATTGGTGACGAAGTCTTCGCGCTTAAGATTATGTCGAATAACGAAGTCTAAGGCCTGTATTAATGGTTATTACTTAAAACTGGCCTCATCCGAAGTACTCAAACCTTTACTCAAAGTTGAATCCAAGTTTTTCAGTCGAACTATGACACATGTGATATTTACATCTGCAGTCGCGATTTACAATTGGAAAACTCTCATCTAACTCTGAATTGAAGTTTAAGTATTTTAATTAAGAAGGATTTCAAGTAATAATTATTAGTACGAGCTTAATATCTGTATTAATAGTCTTTACTTGAAACTCCTCTCAAGTGAGATACTCGGATTTGAAAGTTCAGATGAAAGTCTTTCAGTTGAATCGCGATTACAGATATAATGTCACATGTATAATATAATTGAAAAAAATTTGGATAATCTAACTCTGAATAAAAATCTGAGTATCTCAAATTTGGATAATCTAACTCTGAATAAAAATCTGAGTATCTCACGAGTCTCAAGTGACGATTATTATTAACACGGCCTTAAAACTCGTATTAATATTTGTCACTTGAAACTGATGTCATGTCAGATATTCAGATTTTTATTCAGAGTTCGATTCAAAGTTTTCAGTTGAATTATGGTGTATGTGACATTTATATCTATAGTCGCAATTTAATTGAAAAATTTTCATCTAACTCTGAATTGAAGTCTAAGTATCTTAATTGAGAATGATTTCAAGTAATGACTATTAATGCGAGCCTAAGATCCGTATTAATAGCCGTTGCTTAAAGCTTCACGAGTCACGATTACTAATATGATATTACTAATATGATATCATATTCAACTGGAAAGCTCAAATCTAACTTTAAACTTAGATCCGAGTATCTCACATGAGATGAGTTTTAAGTAAAGACTATTAACGCAGTTTAGAGTTTGGTCTGAGCTTTTCACTTGAATCATGGTACATGTGACATTATATCGATAATTTCAATTCAAACTGAAAAATTCACATTGAATTCGAAACTTAAATTTAAGTATGTCACTTGAGATAAATTTTAAATAACGACTGTTAAAAAAATATGAATAAAAATTCTCTATGAACGTACCTCAAGTTACTACAGATAATGGTACATCGCTGGAAACAATTGAAGATCGTTTCTTCTAATATCCAAATTATTTTGGATATTTATCAGTTACATACACTTTAAAAACATAATAAATACATATGCTCAAACGCAGTAATTCAGCTTTGTTTACTTTAAATTCTTCAGTGCTTCGTTCAGACTGCAAAATCGATTGATCCGTTATCATGTGACAATTGTGACAATCATTTTGAGAAATGTATCTTTTCAGCGAGAGTAACAGAAGACTTTTCGGAGAAAGATGAGTGAACATTAAGTGGGTTAACGTAAAGTACTTAGTATTATAAGATTAAAAAAGATTAAAAATTCAATCTGCGGCGAAATTCTTTTCATCAAGATCCACTTAATATGTCTCTCCTGTGGATATTGATGTCGACCCATCGACGTAAATACACTTCGAAAATTTTGCATTATGTATCTTCCAACGGCTGGTTGCGGCCCTGGTCGAGAGAAAGGTGTTGTGGCAGCGGAGCCCGTCCTTCGAGAAGAAGCTGGGTCCAGAACTAATCGTCAAAATATAAGGGAGCCCTATCGAGCCACCTGCTCGATTCGATAGGATATACCGGTTACAATGCATCAGTGAGAGGATATAGCACTATATTGCAGAAAATTACGGGTGAAGCGCGGTCGCTACCAACGAGATACATTGGCGAGATGCTCACCGCTTCGCTGCGCTTCGCGTATCATCCTTTAAGGACAAAAAGGAAGGTACAAGTCGACAAACTAATACCCTTTAAATTCCGCATGCGTAGAATGTGCGTGTGTGCGTGTGGAACGCGAGTAGGTGTCGCGTGAGCGCGGTCTAGCAGCGGCTAAATCAATAAGCGCGATTTAGATGCTGCAAGAGACCGGTATATTTGGAGCTGCTCGCAACTCCAAATACACCGGCTGAAAAATAACGCTTGCTTGATTATTCAAGGGGCCTGGAATAATTGAAAATGCGCATTGCCGGGGGAGACGTGGCGCGCAGGATGGCACATACGTGCGAGGCGATTTAGCCTGGAGTGCGCGCTTTCGCGCAGCGCGCCCTTTTCCGTACGAATTCGAGATGGCGAGTGTCCGCGCGCGCGGCACACACACACATACACATCTCGGCAGAGTTTATTAAAATCCCCGACGTCTCGCATGGATATTCGCGAGTCCTCCCGGCGCTGCATACTACAGCCTCGCCGATGCTCATCATCCGGCACGACCTAACCGCTATTTTTTCTAGTCCCATTACACGTAATGGCGCAATTTGTGTAATGCTGGAACTCGGGCGCTTCCGCCGATACTCGG